TGCGTCGCATTACTGCTTCACCAAAATTGCTAACTCCAAAATCCGCATTGGCATCGCCAATAACAGCAGTGTTAGCTACAACGCCAACAACCATCAATGGGCGACTTGCACCGCCCCAATTGCCGGAGCACTGCGGCAAATCGCCACAACGTCGTGGCTCACCGCTGGCCGGTTTTCGCCGTTTGCGTTCGCCACACAGCTTTATGCGTACACGTCTTCAGGTGCCAACACAATGTGATTTCGGTGCAAAAAACCCCAGTAGTCCCTGCAGTGATAGGGGTAATAGTAAAAAAGCGAGTAACTTAGCTTCACGCCGTCGTTGCCGTCAACTGCGTTTAAAGGAGGTACAACGTCGTTATGCAAAGCCATTTGAGGTGCATGCTGTGCCGAAACCTTTAAGTCCGCGTGTTGGCTATTTGTTACGACGAGTAGGCATGATACGTTACAGATCGTTGTTTCAAATGGAGGAAGTGGATTATGTGGTGTTTCGAACGCTGAGCGAACGAGACTTGCAAATGTTGGGCATTGGGGACGCAAGCGATCGTGGAGAAATTTTAAAAGGTGTTTTGCTAGCGGATGTGTTGATTACGGAGTTGGAATCTTAAGTGCGCGATAGCTGAAGTTTAGGGGATTTGTTTAGGGGATAATATGGTAAAATGAGTTTGTTCAAAAAATATGTATGTATTAAGAGGCATTTATGTTTGTTTATAAGTCCATTTTCATATCAAAAGGTTATTGTATTAGAAGATAAGTATTTTATTATGTAAAAACTGTACGCCAAACTATAAAGTAATTTAAAAGTAATGAAATTTCAAATAAAATGTACGCTTAAGCTTAAGCGAACAATTTCGTACTTAAGATGTTGAACATCTTGGAAAATATGTAAGCGTGATTTTATAAATCCGATAGAGACTAACTTAAAGCTGGGCTACTCACGGAATCTTACGGGTGCCATCCGCACGGATCTCATCCGATTCCCACTGTCATAAAAAGCTGGGGTGAAAGATTAGATTCGTGCGAATGGCATCCGTAGGATACATTACTGTTGTTATTGTTGAAGCGGCTACTTAGCCCTGCCTAGATCGGCTTCGCTCTAAATCGTTGTTGTCGCTCAACTAATGGGAGACCCGGGAAGTGCGCAAATCCAACTAGACCTGTCCATAGGGATAAGGTCGTTAGTTGAGTGGTGTTTTGCGTCGTATGTGAAGAAATGCCGTCAGTCATGAGGTGACTCTCCGCATGTCGAGCACTCGTTGGACATATCTGCGTTTTTTCTGCGCAGGTAAATGTTTCGCCTGCTGCAGTATCAAGAGGGAAGTTAGGCTATAGCGAGGTGAGTCTTCCGGAGTAGATAAAGTTCTGTCTCGTACACGTCAGGTGGCTGTGTACCCGAAACGGCATTCACAGGTCGGGAGTCGGTGTTAATCGACACTGTGAATGTCGTTTATGGCCTGTCGGTACGCTGTCGGGACCAGAAGTTGTTTTATAAACCTCTGGACTTAGTCCGCTGGTTCGTATAGATACCTTCTGACGTGCCTATGTGCCTCTGCGGCAAGCAGGTGTCTGTTCGAGTGCCTACGTCTGTGGTATCCTACTAGAATTTGGTTGCAAAGCATTGTATTGTGCTCCTTGACGGGAAGCATTTGGGCCTCGTTGTGTAGATGGTGTTTTGGCGATATCAGAAGGCATGCTTTAGTTGACCAGAGTGCCGTGCTTTGTCAGGTATATAGCTTCATCCACTGCGTCCTGCTAATCCCCGGCGACCACTGCACAGTTTAGAACCTGCCGGCGAATTTCGTTGTATGTCGCCAACTACGTTTCTTTGTCTTTGCCCCAGGTGCTGCTGGTTAGCGACTTGAGAACCTTATTGCGGCTCTGTACTCTATCGACAATTGCGGTTGTGTGCGCCGAGAAAAAGGGCAGACCGTCGAAGGTAGCGCCGAGTATTTAGGGGCTGTTCACATACGAAATTGGTTCGCCGTTGGGGATTTCGTAGGGGAGAGGGCCTCACCTCTCCTGGAAGTAACTGGAAGTTTACTTTCCAGCACAAGTCATCAATCATGAAGAAAAAAAATATTGGAATAAATTGGATGTAAGTCCTATGAATAAATCGCCCTAATTTTTTTGAGTTGATCGCACTTTAAATCTCGGAGTGCGATATCTTCATTACTAAATATTTTCCGAACTAATTCTGGCTATTTCTGACAAATTCGGACTCTGTGGGATCGCAACCGGTGTCAAAAGCCTATGACAGATCCAACGCTACTAGAACTGGGCGGTTTCCGCAATGATGAGAGTGGACGTAGAAAAATTGAGGACCCCATTGCATATTCCGTCTGAGGCTTTACCGATGGCTACCTGAACCTCACTGCCGATGTAAGCAAGAGGCGCACTGGGTGTTGGCAGATTTGCAGTTTTCTGGACACTCGGATGTTTAGCTTTGTCCACCGTAGGATGCAGCGTGAACTGTCGGCTAAAATAGCTCGCGCATCGTTCCGAGTCCGACGAGAAAGAGATATCGACTCTATCATCGTGCTTTGTCCGGATGGTCAGTGACTTTACCGTTGAACTGAGCTTGCGCACACCAGAGGTGAAATCGCAAGTATTCAAATGCTTCTTCCACCTCAATGTAAGGATCCTCTTGCTAACAGCGCTATAAACGCGTCGCTTTATATCGTGCATCGGTAAATGAAAGGAATATGTACGGCCAACCATTCTCTAGTCGTGCAGGAGCGTTATAAGGGGACGATATCCTAGAAGGAACTGCTGCGATAACATCGTATAGTGCTCTTTCACCGTCAGCATTTGACTATCGTCATGGCGGTGATACTCGAACAACACGAGATTTCCGGTAGAAATTCTGGGGTTTAACAGGTCTGCCTAACTTACTATGTGGCAGCGGAAAGAGTGTGGCCATGTAGAGGTTTAACAGCGTCGGCGATACCTTGTTTAATTCTACGTGGCTTGGATTTAACTTTTCGGAATTCAAGTAAAGATTAACGTCCACACAGATTTTTTGTTATCCAACATTTTTTCTCTCGCAGCGAGTCTGGAATGATTTCGCCAAGGGTCTCTTGTAAAGCATGTCGAATGCCTTCGACAAGTCGAATAGCGACTAGAACTGTCCTATCACTAGGTCGACGTTGGCTCAGACCCACATTTATCTGTGTGGTAATGGCGTTTAAAGCTGTTCTCGTGCTGTGCATTTTCCGTGAACATACTTGTGAACTAATTATTGCTTTTCAAAATTCACAATTTCCGAAGAAAGGATTAAAGGTTTCAAGTCTTTAATATTTTGTCACCACAAACCATGGCTCTCACCACAAACCATGGCTGCCACGCTGCTATATCGAGGACATTCAACCAGCCGAAAAGAGACACCTTTCCCCATTAAGGGACCGTTTATCCCAACTACGTATCTTCATATCACACTCCGTGATCGTTATAAAAAGTTAATGTTCTCATCTGTAAATTTCAGGTACTTTGGGATTCATGCATGGAAAGTGAGCTAAAGCTCCGACACGAGTTTCAGTATAAATTCTTCAGCTAGAGTTCACTTCAACTGGGTAAGAATTGAGCCTGAGATTAAGCTTACTTTTTATGTATGAGGCCCTTTATTTCACGTGGTAGGTCTGAAACCTATGCGCAACCGTATGGTGAGGTGAATCCACTTTTATATAGCAGTCGAAGGCTCTGTAGCTAGTGCTGTTATATTTCCTAGGTAGTATAATTATTTATGTATAATTATATTCCCTTTTAATAAATAAATAAAATAAATATAGCAAGGCAGACAACCCTAGCGACTTATGTACTTACTATGTAAACCCTCTCTTTCTGCCGTGACCCAAGACTGCACCCGATTTGATTATTGCATGTGTTGATCAGGTGCACGGGCTGTGCGAGCCATTATAAACAAATTTAAATTAAATTTATTTAAAAAAAGTAGAAGAAAGAAATTCAAAATTAATCACCCTGTTTAGGCTTCATTTCATCTGGTATTATTCGCAGCGTTTTTTTTTGTTATTTTTCAAACGTTTATTTCTTTTGAGAACCTCTAAATTTACCTGCGATCAAGTGGAACTTCGAAAAAAGAAATAATTTACATAAAGAAAGGTTAATTCGCTCTAGGCTCAAATATCATTATTAGAAAAGTTCAAAAAACTCTAGGCGAAAACTGGTTTTGAAGATTTTGTTCATATTTTATTTTTCGCCTTTTAACCGCCTTTGTGTGACCAACAAGAAGAAAATAACATTTTTATTGAAATGAGCTGCTTTATTTATTTTTCATTTTCCGTTTCTTAATACTTTATTTTCTGATTTATTAATTTTTTCTCTTGTTCGTCGCGCCTTTCAATAACTTGTTGCTGTAAATTGTTTACTTATGCTGCCGTAAAATTTTAAATTTCAACCATTTGCTGCGATGACGAAGGCCTAACACTTAGAACGAAGCGAACAAATTTTAAAAATATTTAAAATCTAAAAAAATGGATATTTTTATCAAAAAAAAAAAAATAAAAATAAACGCGTACAACAAGTTTTACAATCGCGTTGAACCCAATCTGGTTAGATTTAAATCCACCAGATGCGGTGACGCCATTGCTTATACTAATATATGGACAATACATCCATACGTACATACGACTGCAACTGTTGCTTTTGCACAAAATATTGTGCGTGTTTTTTTTATGTACATTTATGATTGCAATTGGAAATTTGCAAGTTTTATTGCTGTTATTGTTAAGGAGTCAATGACAAAGTAAAAAATTCAATTCGAATGGGAATTAGAGAATTAGATATCACGGACTAATTGGAATTGAATATATATAAAAATTTCTGCTATTCTGATAAAGCAAGTATCAGGGTTCGTATTTGCACACACATGCGCAGCACATCCTAACATTTTACGCTCACACACGCTGTGCATATAAAAAATTAAAAACGTGCTCACATCACATGTTTGTGCTGTTTGGTAAAAAGCACGGGCACATGTGTGTACTTGCGTAGAGAAACTTATACACNTGTGTGGCCTTGCGTAGAGAAACTTATACACTTCGATTTCTATCTCAAATCTTAAAATAATTTTTTAATATGTTTTCTGTCATATAAAAAACAAACAACACCTCACTTTTTATTGAATTTTCTTTCAAAAAATAACGTTTAATAAACAAATTCTTTTAAAAATATATTATGTGCATGTGCTTGGGCTGAAATTTGTACAAAAATCGGCTCACACCAAGGTACATTGAACAGGTAGTATCAGTAGAGCAGCTGATTTGATTTATTTTCAAATTATTTGGTCTCGAAAATGTCAAATATTTTTAATTTTTTCTCACAAAAATTCTGAATTGTTAAAATCCATTTGCATGTGAAACCTTTTTCCATACAAAACAAGCGATTGAATAGCAGCTTTTGGAACGTTCGCCCAACTCAGCAGCACAACCGCTGATTACTGGCCCTTGTAAAGGATGGATCAATGCTTCGAAAAGCAAACAAATTTACTAGGAAAGAAAGTTGCAACAATTTTTATTTTTTCCAATTTCAATTTTTTATTTTTTATAATTTTTTGTATTTCACATGGCACGCTTTGATTTAGAAGAAAAAATTCAGAACAGTTTTTGACACTTTCGATACCAGAAGCAACAACAAAATACACGCAAATGTTGTTTTTGCTCTACTGATCCCACCATGCAAAACATGAAAAATAGGCAACAATCGTCAATGG